TACGTTTCTGGGGAAATGTGGGGGATTGGTATCCCATTTTACAGATGAAGATAGGGAGGCTCATAGGCCTTAAGTGATTTGATTGAGCTCACCTAGCTAGTCACTGACAGAGACAGTACTAGAATCCTTGAATTCTAAGCTGGGAAGGGGAAGGGGTAGAGAGAGATGATCAGAGAAGCTGTCAGTTGAAGCAGGCAGGGAGCTGGACCTGGCGCTCAGGCTGTGGGCTGGGGAAGTAAAATCCAGGCATCCTGCTCTGTCAGCTCCCTCTGGCTTGAAGATACGCCTGGCCTGGCGGGCAGCCCGTCGTTCTGGGGGATCAGGTTCTCGGGGGAGCCTGTCCCCCTCCCACTCCTACTTCCTTTCCCCCTGTCAGCGTCTGCGGCCCCATCTCATTCCGGGATTATCCTGGGGGTTCTTAGAGAAAAATGAGAAACGTTTTTTCCTGGAATTAATACCCAAAGGGCATTACTGTGTGAAATAGAGTGGGGATGGGCCATGTTGGGTGCAGAAAGAGTAGAACTGGGGATGGTTATAGAAATGGCTAATGTTAATTGAGCATATTACGTGCTGGTTCTAAGCCCTTGAGCTATATTAACTCACTTAATCCTCCCAACGCTATAAAGGAGGTGCTGTTATCATCCCCGTTTTACAGATGATGGAATAGAGGCACAGAGAGGGTAAGTAACCATCCTAGGCCACAAAGCCAGTTAGTGGCAGAGCTGGGACTCACACCCAGATGTGAAGGATGCAGGGGATGCGGAGCCCAGGCTTTATTCTGCATTATTTCCCCAAAAAGTAGAAGCTAGAAAGGAGTAGGTAGGGAAGTCCCTCTTGCTGTCTCACTTCTATCAGTTCCACTCTTGTTCTGTCCCTTCTGTAGAAATGGAATCCTTTCCTGTCCACCAGGATTTCTAATACACAACCCCTCACCCTCAGGGACTGGGGCATAGTGAAGTAGAGGGGGCTTCTCACCAGAGGGAGCTAGCTGGGCTCCAAGAAGAACAGGGGGCTAGTGAAAAGGGTTAGGCACTGTGTGGGCTTGGAAGCAGAGAGGGCCTGAATACTGGGGGCTGGGGAGCCAGGATTGGGGACTGCAGGCCTGGCCAGGAGCCCAGCCGTTTTGCATCTCGAGGTGGAGGAGAGAGAAGTGTCAGCTCATTCCTGACTGTAAACACATTCCTGTTCCCACGCCTCCATCGAGTTCTTGTGGCAGTCTCCACCCCTATCCCCTTCTCCTGTCCAGCCTCCTGCCAGGGGTCTCCCCACCAATAACTGTGACTATTCTAAAGAGATGCAGAACCCCTGGGCTTCCTGCCTGAGATCAGGAAAGACTAGAGCCGTTGTGAGGCTTCTGCCAGCAGCCTAGGCTTAGATCTCTGCTCTGACACTGCTAGCTGTGTGGCCTTGGGCAGGTTACTCACTCTCTCTCTGCTTGTTTACTCATCAGCAAAGTGGAAATAATAATAATACCTACCACAGTGGGTTGATGTTAGCTTTAAATGAGATGATCATATAGATTGTTCAGCATCCTTCCTGTCCCAAGCACAGTAAATGACACATAATGGTCACATTATTATTCTTGTTGTGAGGGAAGGTGTCTGTCTGTGTCATTCAAACCAGATGGATAGTGGAGGAAGGAGGTTAACTAGGGGAAGGAGGGGGGCATCTGAATGGGAATAGAGGGACTCCAGCCTGTAGTGGAAAGGTCTGGGGTCCTCCTCAATTAGTATAATATGGGCCTCTGAGGTGAGGTCAGGAGCCAAGAGTGTCTGATTCAAAACCCTTAAGGATATGTGTAATCTACCAAAAGATAAAAAAATAATAATAATAAAAAAAACCCAAACCCACTGTTACAGTCGATTCCAGCTCATAGCGACCTCCATTTGGCTTCCAAGGCTGTAAATCTTTAGGGAAGTAGATTGCCTCATCTTCCTCCTGCAGAGCAGCTAGTAGGTTTGAACAATCTAGAGGGGCCCATTGCCATCGCCCCTGGGAGTGGGGGTTAGGAAAGATAGGCTGTGTTCAGGTGGCCTAGCCCTGTAGGAACAAAAGCTCAGATGGGCACAAACCTGAGAAGTAGCTCTGGGCTACTTCCTGGGGGTGGACAGGCCACATCCTTCCCATCCCTGCCAGGGCTCCATTCCATTTCCCCCCTCCCTACCGACCACCCACTGGCCTCCTCTGACCCCACCCTGGCTTCCAGCCCCATGGCTGACCAGCTGAGCCTCCTTCACTGCTCCAGCCCTGCCCTGAGACCCTTTGGGAAAACAACCTACCCACACTCCAACCAGCTAACCTCCTAGGCAACCAGAGTGAAGGGGATTAAATTCAATTTCTTTTCCTGTTCCCCCATCCACCTCCATGTCCATTGGAAAGTCCCCAGGTGGACCATTTCCTCTAGAAGTGGTTGGGAGGAGGTAAAGGGGCACTGTTACTCAGGACTGGCCGAGTGGATGAGAACAAGAGGAAGGACCTTCTTGGGGCTCAGCAACCCCACCTGCATGGCACCTCCTTCCTACACCTCCACTCAAGTCCTCCATGCTGCAGGTTTTGTCTACCCTGCCATGGCCTGGAGCTCTGGGGACAGATAGGGGGCAGGGAAAGCCTCGGAAGCCCTGTGTAACTTAAGAGATGAGGCTCCTCCTGGGACAAGGGTGACCATGCTGCATCCAGACAGGCTAAGCTCCAATCCGAGGGTAGGCGGCCCTTGCCAGGGCCAGAGCTGGGGTCTGGGAAGAGGGAAGAGAGGAGAAGACTGAAGGATGGAAATGGGGAGATGTGCGGAGGGCTCAGGGTCTTGCCCATGCCCCTGGCTTCCAAGCATACTGGAGACAAGGTGAGGAGGATGTTAGCAGGGGACCGGATAGAGAGAGTGCTGGAGGTAGGCACTGCTCCTGGAAAGGCAGCTTGAGCAGGGCTTCAGCTGTCTCCTCCAGGAGTGGGAGGGGATAGTTTTGGGACCTTGGAAGAAGGAGCCAACTCTGGATAAGGGGAGGGAAGGCTGGTATGGGGGGAGGGGGTATACTGGGACAGACTGGGAAGAGCACTTGAGGGACACTCTTGCCTTGGGCCTGGCTCCTTGAGGATAGGGCTGGGCTCCTCCGACAATGGTTTTCTAAGGGCAGTGCAGGGCCAACACCCTCAGAGTGGCCCATACTGCTCAGCTCAGGAGACAAGCCACTGGAAAGATGCTCTGGTCCTGGCCCCAGCTTCACATCCCACCCTCTGAACTCAGGGGGTTGGGAAGACAGAGCGCACACTCATGATCTCTGCTGCTCCCCTCATGGCCACCCCCATCCTAGTCAGGCTCTATTTCCTATTTTCAGGCTCCATATCCTGAGCACTGGGAACCCTGGGCCACTCTCCAAGTGCAGGGCTGCTCTACCCTGCTCCGGGCTCACCTCAGTTCCCCAGCCCCAGGATGCCCTAGAGGTCTGGTGAGTTCCTTGGGGACTGAGCATGAATGGCAAGAAGCACAGAGAAAAGTAGAGGTAGAGATTTGCCCTGGGGGAGCTGTGATGGGTGGGGTGGCACTGTGGCCCTGCATGATCCCAGGAGGTGGGCAGGCGGATTTTGCAGTGAGAGTGAGGTGAGCAGGAGGAGAGATGGGCCAGCCGAGTAGCTGGGAGGGTGGAGATGAGACTGCAAAAGGGATCTCTGATGAGGATGGAAGATTGTGGGTGAGATGGGGTTAAATCAGTCTATCTCTTACTTCTAGACCTGGCTGTGGGACCCTGGGAGTGTGTGGGTGGGGGGCTTGGGGTGAGGCCAGGAGGCAGGCATTCCAGAGATACTCAGGGGGGTAAGGGGCCAGCAACCACGACCTTTCCTTCTCGGAAAAATTACAAGCAGATGTGGGTGCCTCAGGAGGTCTAGAGCAGGCAGCCAGGGCAAGTTTCAGGAACACCAAACACAGAATTTGAAACCAGCAGTGGGGGTGGGAACACAGGAAGCTCAGTCTCTTCAGAGCCCGGGAGCTGAGAGAATGGCCCACCTGGGGTCCTGACCCTCTTCCCACCCACGGTCAGGCCAGGGTGAAGGAGATGGTGAGGGGCCCATTTCCAAATGGCTGATGGGGTGGTCTGCGGGAGGCAGGGGGCTTTCCCTCGTATCTCAGGCCAGATTGGGACCTCTTCAGGTGATTGCACCGAGAGTTAGAGCAGTGATGTTCTGGCAAATGTCTAACAACTGGCTCTGGGGTGTGTGTGAGGAGTGGCTGGTTTGGGATGTTTGCTGGTTTCCATGATTTAAATAATCTCACCATGCCTGATTTCAAGCTATCCACACAAACATGGAGCTGGGGAGAGATGGGTGCAATTGGCTCTGTTGAGCCTGTATGAGTCAGTTCCAGCACACCACTGGTTGGAAGGGGCCTCTTTCAAGGTCTCAAGACCCAGCCCCACTCACTGTCACATCCCATAAAACAGGAATTTCCCCACAGCATTGCACCTAGTTGGTTTTGGCCTTTGCCCATATTTATCCAGTGACCAGAGCTCACCACCTGAGATGGCTGCTTCTGATACTGAACGGCTCTGACAGTTCTTCCTGCAATTGAGCCCAAGTTGGACTCTTCATAACTTCTCATTGATTCCAGTTTCATACCTCCGCACAGGTCAGGCTCTGGGCTGGGGATTCAGAGATAAAGAGCACTGGGCCCCTGCAACAAGCAGTCATGGTCAGGAAACAGACACTAGAACAGTGGTGATTGTGAATGGAGTCAGAGAGCAGAGCAGAGAAAGGGTGGCACCTGAGCTAGATCTTGAGCGAGGAGTACTCCAGGTGATGAATGGGAGGGAGACCCTGTGGGCTGAGGAAAGGCTGGAAGGTAGGAATGAGATCTGGGGACTGGGAGCCCAGGGAGCATGGGCCAGAGGACAAGTGGCCCAGCCTCTCTGTTGCACACCCCCCTGCTTGGATCTTCACAGACCTTTGGTTCTTCACACTTCCGGCTGCAGTGCCCTTGCCTGTTCTGCAATGACTTGTTGAAGTCCTCTGCAATGTCACCACCTCTGAATCCCCTCCTTCTCCTGGCCCTGGGCCTCAGACTGGCTGGATCCCTCAGCCCCAGTGACCCCAATGCCTGCAGCTTCTGGGAAAGGTGAGAGGGGACCCCTGTTGAAGCTCAAAAACCAAACCAAACTCACTACCACTGAGTCAATTCTGACTCCTAGGGACCCCCATTAGGCTTCCAAGGCTGTAAATCTTTATGGAAGCAGATTGTCCTATCTTTCTTCTGCAGAGTGGCTGGTGGGTTAGATCTCCCAACCTTTGGGTTAGTAAGCAAATGCTTTAACCAATATACCACCAGAGCTCCTTGTGCTGGAGCTCAGGACTCCTCAGTTCTCCCTACTGGGGCTCCTCTCCCCATTCCTTCTCTTTCCCCCCTCCCTCTCTCATCCCTCTTTTTTCCTCTGTTTCTGCTTTCTTTCCCTCTCTGAGCTGTCTCTGATTCCATCCCCTTTTCTGATTTTGTCTCAATCTCTGTCCTCTCTCTGACCTTGTTCTTCTCTGTCCCCCTTTCTGTCCCTGTCCCTGTTAGGCTGGCTGAAAGACAGAACACGAGGTGGAAGCCACTCAGTGTGGATAAGCTGATGGGCTGGCCCATGAGGAACAAAGGGACAGGGTTGGGAAACAAGATCCAGGACAGAATCTGGCCAGAAATGCCACAGCCCGTCTCTGTCAGCTGGGCCCGGAAGTCTGTTGTAGCTCAATCTTCCCAGATAGAGAAGGAGATGGAGGAGGGGAGGAGAGGAAATCAAAGTATCTGGTCCAGTAGTGTGAGGGAGGAGAGGGCTCTGAACATTCCAGTTCTGGGAGGATCCCTCTAGGCTTGGGAGCTGGGATGGATGGAGGGTCCATTCTAGAAGCCCGAATACTGGGGTGGCGATTCCTCACTGTGGCCAAGCCCTAATGGCCCTGCTGCTTGTCCCTCCCTCCCTGTGCCACTTCAGGCCTCCCTCCCTGACCATGTTCCTGTCTTGCAGCTTTACCACCACCACCAAGGAGTCCCACTCCCGCCCCTTTAGCCTGCTTCCCTCGGAGCCCTGCAACAGACCCTGGGAGGGTCCCCACATCTGCCCACGGCCCACGTGAGTGCCCCTCGCCTTCCTCTCCACAGGCAGGAAGAATTGCTGCCTCAGTCTGGCTCTGGGCCCTTCATGTCACATTCTTTCCTCAGAACCTTTAAAGTGTAGAGGGAACATCTGGCTTCTTAGTGTGATACGTGTGGGTATGTGTATGAATGTATGTGTTTGGGGTGTGTGTGTCATGTACTGTATGCTTGTGATTGGGTGGGAGCAAGGAGGGAACACCCTTTCTATATCCTTCCAGCCTAGAGTGTTGGGCAGTGCCCCCAGTCCTCCCCTAGTGCCACACTGTGGTGAGGGTGGACAGCACTGAGGGCTGCTGGGGTCTCCCCCAGGGTCATCTACCGGACTGTGTACCGCCAGGTGGTGAAGACAAACCACCGCCAGCGTCTGCAGTGCTGCCAGGGTTTCTACGAAAGCAGCAGCGGGGCTTGTGTCCGTGAGTTCGGTAGAGGGAGCACCAAGCCCTCCCCATCCCCCTCTCCTGGAAATCTGCTGAGTTAGCAACTATTGGGCCAAGGAAGGGATGGGTGGGGTCCTGGAGGGGGAGGGGCCTAGCGCACCCTTCCAAGTCCTGCCCTGCTCCCATGAGGGGAAGGGGTAGAGGGGTATCCCTCTGCCCCTTTGAGTTTTACCCTTATCACCACTTGCCCTTTTTGTCAGCACCTCCCTCTCAGTGGCCACTTCAAGCCTCTGTCTTCAGGTGAACCCGTGTCCCTCAGCAGTCTTTGTGTCTCTGTCCCTAATATCCCAGAGCTTTCCTTTTGGCTATCTGTGTCTCTCTGTTACTGTGTGCCTCAGTGTGTGATGTCTGGGCCCATCTGTCTCTTCTGTCACCGTCTTTCTGTTGCTGCCTGTCCCTGACTTGCTGCTGTCCAGCTTCTCCTGACTCCCTCCCCTTACCCTGTGACCCTCAGACTGGAGCTTCTGTGTCGTCTTCTTCCCTCAGCCCTAGCCCATTGCCAGCCCCTGCAGAGAGTCCTTTCCAGCCTGACCTTACCCCCTGGCCCTTGGCCCCCACCTTCTGAATGGAAACCTGTGTCCAGTCCCTACCTGAATCAAGTCAATTTCCCCAAAAAAGTGTTTAGAGAAAGAGGCTGGGAAGCGCAGAATCTTGGAGTCTTGTCAAGTCCTCACCCTGAGCTGCTGTCCCTCAGTCTGTCTTCATCTTGGAGACAGAACTGATACTTGGAAAACTCCAGGTCCCTGGTGTGGGAGGAAGATGGGGTTAGGCTGCATAGGATAAAAGTGGGATGAAAGGCAGGGGTAGAAGCATCTTCTCACTCACACCCCTCTGCCTCAGCGCTGTGTGCCCAGGAGTGTGTCCATGGCCGCTGCGTGGCGCCCAATCAGTGCCAGTGTGTGGAAGGCTGGCGGGGTGACGACTGCTCGAGTGGTGAGTGGCTAGTGACTCCAGAGCGTGGCCTCTTGCACTCCCAGGGACACAGGACTCTCAGGCATGCCATCCCCACCAGAGCACAGGCCTTTGAGACCCTGGGGCAACTACCCACCAAAGCCTTATTGTAGTTAGCTGCCTTTTCTGAGGATCTGCCTTTTTTGGCTGTGGAAGGGCTAGACTCCATGACTACTTCTTCTTGCCCTCCTTATCCCACAGCATGTGATCCAGGCATGTGGGGACAGCAGTGTGACAAGCCCTGCAACTGTGGCAACAGCAGTTCCTGTGACCCCAAAAGTGGAGTGTGTTCCTGCCCCTCTGGCCTGCAGCCCCCTAACTGCCTTCAACCCTGCCCTCCTGGCCACTATGGTCCTGCCTGCCAATTTAGCTGCCAGTGCCATGGGGCACCCTGCAACCCCCAGACTGGAGCCTGCTTCTGCTCTCCAGAGAAAACTGGGCCCAAGTGAGTAATGAGGGGGCAACACAGTAGTGGGGTTGCAGACATAGTGCCACACAAGCATACATGGGGTTCTGAGGGGTCTCAGACAGGGTTCCAAATGTGGGGTAAAGTTGAGAGGACAAGATTCTAGTCCCAGCTCTGCCACTCATTAGCTGAGTGAACTGGGGCAAATCATTGACTTTCTATGCGCTTGTTTCATGCTGTAAAATGGGAGCAGTATGATCTGTGCTTAGTATGGTTTGTACTAACCTAAAGGTTGATAGTACAACCCACCCAGTGGCACTGCAGAAGAAAGGCCTGGCGATCTGCTTCCATAAAGATTACAGTCAAGAAAACTCTATGGGGAAGTTCTGCTCTTTAACACATGGGGTTGCCATGAGTCAGAATGACTTGATAGCAATGGGTTTGGTTTTGGTTTCTGGCCTACCTAATGCTAGGAGCTCTGGTAGCATAGTGCTTAAGGCACTTGACTGCTCACCAGAAGGCTGGTGGTTCAAACCCACCAGCCACTCCTCGGAAGGAAGGTTGGGCAATCCTACTTCCATAGTGATACTGCCTCGGAAACCCAAGGAGGGGTCGCTATGAGTCAGGGCCGACTCGACAGCAAACAACAACAACAATGCTATGACGATAACACGAAATAGCATGTGTGTGAAAGCACTTTGCAAAGTGAGACAAGAAGCCAGAGAATCCTGTTGCAAGGCAGGGCACGGGGACTGCTGGGAAATCACAAGCAGGAGAAGGTACACTTAGTTGGCATTCAAGGAAGGCTTCGTGGAGGAGGGTGCTCCAATGCAACTGATAGAAAAAATAGTAGGCAGAGGTCTTCCCCTAGAGGGAACAGCATGAGCAAAGGTGAGGAGGTAGAGTGCTGGGTGTGCGGGGAAGCACACATGCTACTTGTGACTCTGCACCACCTCAATTCCCAGCACCCTGGTGGTGTTGGGGTGTCTTCTGTGACTTCCAGCTCTAGAAACCTTTGCTTTCTGATTCCTGCAGTACCTAACAGGGAAGGGGGCTGGGACGCCCAGGGCAGGGGTGAGTCCTGTGATCAGGCTTTCCTTCCCAGGAGGGCCCACTTGCAGTTGGTCAGCTCCTGGGCTAGGAGGGAGGCGGGTATAGTTGTCTACACACTGACCTCACCCATTCTGCCCTGCAGCTGTGAGAAGCCCTGTGCCCAGGGCACTGCTGGCTTCTTCTGCCCCAGCACCTGTCCTTGCCACAATGGGGGTGTCTGCCAGGACTCCCTGAGCCCTTGCAGCTGTCCACCTGGCTGGACGGTATGTAGGGTGATATGCGTGTCTGGACAGAAATCTGTGGGTAAATCTCAACAGGGTTATGAGAAGAATGTCTGTGAAGGGGGATGGGTTCTGTGGGTGTGGGGGTGTCAAGCAATCCTGGGGCACGGAGAGGGGGTAGGGCACGGGGAGGGAGTGGGGCACTTGAGTTTATCAACCTCTCACCCTTACAGGGCACCATTTGTTCGCTGCCCTGCCCAGAGGGCTTCCACGGACCCAACTGCTCTATGGAATGTCTCTGCCACAATGGTGGCCTGTGCGACCGATTCACAGGGCAGTGTCATTGCACTCCAGGTTACACGGGGGATCGGTGCGTGGTGGTGGCGGCGCAGGCAGGAGGGGCGGAGGGCGGGGCAGGAAATGGTGATGTGGCCTGGCTCACTGGTCACGGTGCCCAGGTGCCAAGAAGAATGTCCCGTGGGCCGCTTCGGGCAGGACTGTGCAGAGACATGCGACTGTGCTCCTGGTGCCCGTTGCTTCCCCGCCAACGGCGCTTGTCTGTGCGAACATGGCTTCACCGGGGACCGCTGCACCGAACGCCTCTGCCCCGACGGACTTTATGGCTTCAACTGCCAGATGCCCTGCACATGCGATCCTCTGCACAGCCTCAGGTGGGCCGCCGGACACTGTGGTCAAGCGGTCAGGAGCGCAATATGAAAGTTCTTTGTCCCAGGAGTCACCAAAAGCCCCAGAGGCATGTCCAAAGGCGGGGCAACTCTCACAGAAGGGAAAAGGAAGGGGTCTGGGGCGGGGGTAGGGGGTGAGGAGGGACTGGGGTCCCAGCGCTCGCCTCATTCCCGCTCCAGGTATGGTCCGGAACTTCCTTATGGGCCCCCTTACTCGGGAAGTAATTGGCACCCATCACGCGGAGGGGCTGGAGAGGCGGCCGGCGGTCACAAGCTCAGACCACTCCGCGCCCCTCCCCGCAGCTGCCACCCAATGAACGGAGAATGCTCGTGCCTGCCAGGCTGGGCAGGTCTTCACTGCAATGAGAGCTGCCCCCAGGACACGCACGGGCCAGGCTGCCAGGAACACTGCCTTTGCCTCCATGGCGGCGTCTGCCAGGCTGACAGCGGCCTCTGCCGGTGCGCGCCGGGCTACACGGTGAGGCGCGCCTTGCGGCAAAAAAGGGAGGAAGCGGAGGACTGATTCCGCCCCTCTCACTCCTTCGCCCACCTCCTTTCTAGGGCCAGCACTGCGCTAGCCTCTGTCCCCCCGACACTTTTGGGGTCAACTGTTCCTCACGCTGCTCTTGTGAAAATGCCATCGCCTGCTCACCCATCGACGGCGCGTGCATCTGCAAGGAAGGTAAGGGGCTGGGGGCTGGGGGTGACAGTGGGTAGGGACAAGGGGAGAAGGACGGTCCCAAGGCTGGAGGCTGGCCAAAAGCAGAGGAGATACTACAGGGAAAGTACAGAGCCACTCCAGAGGAGCAGGGAGGTGGGAAAGTAGCCAGGCTACTTCCTTTCTGGAATATCTACTATGCTTTTTTTCTTCAACCACAGAAATCCTACTCATGGGTAAAGACCCAGGCCAGAATGCACCTCATCCCTGAACCCTACTCAGACCCTTATTCATACAGAATCACAGAAAGGCCTTGCCAGGAAAGACCTTCAAGATTTACCAGAGTAGCACACTGACACCCCTTAGGCTGAATTGTGTTGCAGATGTGTTTCGTTTGGGTAACTCTTTAGTAAATTTAACTTTCAGCCTCCAGTCCTCACCATTGCATATTGTCTTACATGCAGTCTGGATAACTCAATTCCTTTTGGGGGCCTCTGCAAGCATTTGGGTTTGCTGCCAACTGCCTTCACTTTGCAGAAGAAGAAGCCAAGACCTTGAAGGGACTGGCACATCACCTGAGATCCCTTAGCTCCCTGTTTAGCATTTAATGGTCTATCTGCTTGCCTTTTGCATGGGGCTATGAGCATCCCCCTCCCACCCCTAGCTCATAGCACAGTCTGGCATAGCCAGCACCCAGAGTGTGCTTGCTCAGGGAGGGGGCTGGGTCCCCATGCCTACCAGCAAGTCCCCTTCTCCAGGTTGGCAGCGTGGTAACTGCTCTGTGCCCTGCCTGCCTGGAACCTGGGGCTTCGGTTGCAATGCCAGCTGCCAGTGTGCCCACGGAGCAGCCTGCAGCCCCCAAACTGGAGCCTGTACCTGCTCTCCTGGGTGGCATGGAGTCCACTGCCAGCTGCCCTGCCCTGTGAGTGCTGGCCAGCCTGCCTGCCTGAGGGAGGGGAAGGAGCATGGCACCCCCAGCTGACCAGTCTTCCCCTCCCCTCACATCCTCCCCAAGAAGGGGCAATTTGGCGAAGGCTGTGCCAGTCGCTGTGACTGTGACCATGCTGATGGCTGCAATCCTGTTGATGGACAATGCCAGTGCCAGGCTGGCTGGACAGGTGAGCACTCTGGGTGTCTGGGCCCCAAGGCTGATAGGGAGTTGGGGGGAATACATCCCATGGGAAATATGTCCAGAGGAACTCCCACGGGAGAGCTCCGGGCCAGGCTGCCCTTAGCCCTCTTTCCCACAGGCATCCGTTGTCACCTGCCCTGCCCTGATGGCTTCTGGGGAACCAACTGCAGCAACACCTGTATATGCAAGAATGGGGGCACCTGCATCCCTGCAAATGGCAACTGTGTGTGTGCACCTGGATTCCGAGGTCCCTCCTGCCAGAGAAGTGAGGCTCCCTACCCTCCTCTCCTACCTGTCAGCAGTAGGGTGCATTGTCTGTGCCAGAAGCCCCTGCTCCACCCCTTTTAGTCTCTTTCTCTGGCCCCTATCTTCAGGCCAGTTACAATGGCAAGAAGGAGGAAGGGAGGGAGAGAGACAGTGGGGTCAAGGACTGATTGAGGGCTGGCTCCCGTCTCCAGTTACTGAGCACCCCTTTCCCTCAGCCTGTCAGCCTGGCCGCTATGGCAAACGCTGTGTGCCCTGCAAGTGTGCTAACCACTCCTCCTGCCACCCCTCGGATGGGACCTGCTACTGTCTGGCTGGCTGGACAGGCCCTGACTGCTCCCAGCGTACGTATGTGGTGGCTGTGTGACTGAGTTCAAGCATCATCTATATGCTGGATACTGCTGTAGGTTCTGGGGATACAGCAAGAATAGATGGGGTGGGGGGAGCCCTATCTTTCTGCATGGGAAGACTGGGAGAAGTAGTTTTTTTTTTTTTAAGTGGGAAGGGGAATCATAAACTCAGTTATGGGTATGTTTTACATTTTTGTTGCATCTTTCAGTTTATGTATTTATACATGGCTTCTTTCCCACATAAATATATGAAGATCATGGAAAAGATTAATCCAAAAAAATGAGTAAAGTTTTGAAAAAAGGAAGCAAATGGCTATTACTGTGAAAAAGGTTGGTTGTAAGCTTATCAGCAGGTAGGGTAAAGAGGACAATAATCTTGGCAAAGCGTTTTTCCACAGAATTCTGTAACAACTATGGTTCCCTTGTTAGTGTCAGAGACACAAGAAATAATGCTTTAAGTAGGATGGGCATTTATTTATTTCTCATACAAAGAGAAAAAAGTCCAGAGCAAAGAAATCCACGGTAGCTTGGAACCCTTTGGTTGTCTGGCACTGGACATGTTTTTTGAAGTGCCTATTAGAGAGCCAAAGGAGCTCTGGTGTTGAAGTGGTTAAGGCATTCGGCTGCTAACCAAAAGGCTGGTGGCTCAAACCCACCAGCGGCTCCATGGTAGAAAGATGAGGCAATCTGGTTCTGTAAAGATTTACACCTTGAAAACCCAATGGGGGTCGCTATGAGTTGAAATTGACTGGATGGCAGTGAGTACGTTTTTTGGTTTGGTATTAAAGAACCAAGTGCAGATGAGGAGTTGGCAGTTGGACGCATGATTCTGGATTTCAGAGGAGAGACTGGTTTGGAGATAGAATGTGAGTCATCGGTGTGATATTGTTTAAAGCTCTCGTGGTCCTAGGAAAAGCAATGCTGAGCTTAAGACTTCAATGATATAGGGACCAAGAGTTCATCCAGGAGGCACTGGCTCTGCCCATCCATAAGCCCTTGTCTCCTGCAGCATGCCCCCCAGGACGCTGGGGAGCCAACTGTGTCCAGACTTGCCAGTGTCGCCATGGCGGGATCTGCCAACCCCAGGATGGGAGCTGTATCTGCTCTCCAGGCTGGACTGGACACCTCTGCTTGGAAGGTACCAATACCAGGGGAACTCCAAGTCCCAGACCCTAACTTAGCCTTGCCCAAAGAGGAGACTGTAGTTTCCTGGCCCCTCTGATCCTCACCTCCCCCATGGCCCCCTCCCCAGGCTGCCCTCCAGGGATGTTTGGTACCAACTGCTCCCAGCCTTGCCAGTGTGGACCTGGAGAGAGGTGCCACCCAGAGACAGGGGCCTGTGTGTGTCCGCCAGGGCACAGCGGTGCCCCCTGCAGGATTGGTGAGTTCTCATCTAACCTCTATTGTCCCCAGGAAACCAGAAAACCAGGTATTTCTTCAGGTCTCTCTACCAGGACCTGGGCCTCTCATACCATCCCAGCCTCCCTACTGGGTGCCTCTCCCATACATGTACCCCAAACTCACCAGCAGAACTAAGACACTGCCTTGAGTGACCATCCATCCCACACAGGAAGCCAGGAGCCCTTCACCATGATGCCTACCTCTCCAGTGGTCTATAACTCTCTGGGGGCAGTGATTGGCATCGCAGTGCTGGGGTCGCTGGTGGTGGCACTGGTGGCACTGTTCATTGGTTACCGACATTGGCAAAAAGGCAAGGAGCACCAACACCTGGCAGTGGCCTACAGCAGTGGGCGGCTGGATGGCTCTGAATACGTCATGCCAGGTGAGCCGCCTTGATATGTGGGGCATAAATCAGCTGCTGGTTCATAGGCATAAGGGTGGGATAGGGTGTGGGACTCCTGGGTGCCTCTGTGAACCCAGGGGACAGGAAGTGGGGAGTTGGAGGGAGGAAGGGAAGGCAGCAGGCCAAACCACTGATCTCCTGGAACAGAACAGAAGTACTCAGCTCTCAATTCCTTCGGGCCCCTTGGCCTGCCTGAGCTGACCCCGTACCTGTGTCATTCCTGTAGATGTCCCTCCGAGCTACACTCACTACTACTCCAACCCCAGTTACCACACCTTGTCCCAGTGCTCACCTAACCCCCCGCCCCCGAACAAGGTCAGTGCTGGGGAAGGGGATACGCTGGCGGAAGGATGGGCACAGACATGGCTCTCTGGAAAGCTTCTCCCTGGCATGATACCCTCCCTACTGTGCCCCTCCCCTATTAGGTTCCAGGCAGTCAGCTCTTTGCCAGCCTCCAGGCCCCTGAGCGGCCTGGTGGAGCCTATGGGCATGATAACCATGCCACCCTGCCTGCTGACTGGAAGCACCGTCGGGAGCCCCCACCCCCTGTGGACAGGGGTAGGTGCCTGGAGCCTGGGCCTCTAGTGAGGGTAGATGTGTGCAGCCCAGCAGCCTGCTCCATCTGAGTCTGTGGGTCTGGAGAAGGGGGTTCTGGGGCCCAGTTCTAAAGAAGGAGGTACTAGTTCTGGGAAGGGGACTAGGGATCTGATTGTGAATTGCCTCCTCCTCCTTCTCAGGTAATAGCCGCCTGGACCGGAGCTACAGCTATAGTTACGGCAATAGTAATGGCCTTGGTCAGTTCTATAGTAAAGGTATGGGAACAGAGGGTGGTGAGGGAGGGGCTGAGCTGAGATTCTGCGGGTGCTTCCACTGAGCCTGCCTTCCTCCCCCCATCCTTAGGGCCCATCTCCGAGGAGGGGTTGGGGGCCAGTGTGGCTTCCCTGAGCAGTGAGAACCCCTATGCCACCATCCGGGACCTGCCCTGCCTGCTAGGGGGCCCCCGAGAGAGCAGCTATGTCGAGATGAAAGGCCCCCCGTCAGGCTCTCCTCCCAGGCAGCCTCCTCAGCTCTGGGACAACCAGAGGCAGCGACACAATGAGCCACAGAGAGACAGCGGCACCTATGAGCAGCCCAGCCCCTTGACCCATGGTAAGCTCTCCCTGTCCGCTGGACTGGGGCTAGAGAACTGGGATGAGGGTGATAGAAAGAGAAGACAGTGAGAGGATAAAGAGCAGCATGATGTGGCAACAAGAGCAAGGCCTTTGGGGTCAGACTTGGAGTCAAACCATACATGAGTAGGGGAAGTCACATTGCCTCTTGGAGCCTGTTTCCTCATCTGTAAAATGGAGTGGTGGTACCAACCCCACAGGGCTAAGCATCTGAAACAGGTTAGACTTGAAACAGACTGTACTGCACCTGAGATGGAGTTGATATCTTGGAAAGTGATAGGCTGGTGACAAAGTGTGCTTATATTCTATGAAGTGGGCAGGCCAAGGTGGCTTCTGACCCTGGCAGCTGAGGAGGTGAGAGGCTCTTGCTTAGAGCCGCACAGCCAGGTGCAGAGCTGCCCTGTGTCCAGGCTCCATCCACTTTGCTTTGGACAGAAGAGGCTGGAGAGGGAGGAGAGAAGTAGGAGGTAGAGGACTCTACTTTGTCTCATCGTGTTCTTTCTCTGTCTCCAGACCGAGATTCTTTGGGCTCTCAGCCCCCCTTGCCTCCAGGACTGCCCCCCGGCCACTATGACTCACCCAAGAACAGCCACATCCCTGGACACTATGACTTGCCCCCAGTACGGCATCCTCCCTCACCCCCACTTCGGCGCCAGGACCGTTGAGGGGCCAAGATAGTGTGGGAAAGGCCAGCACACTTTGTTCTTTGCTGCCCAAGGCTGGGGACAGAGCCTGGTGTACCATGCCAGGAGCAGGAGTGGACCGGCAGGCTGTGGACATGAACATGTTAAATGAAGGAAGCGAAGGAAGAGCCTGGGAGCCTAGCTCCCAGATGTGGGAGACACTGGTTGGCAGGATACCTGGGTTCCCATTCCCCATTGCACTGCTCCCAAGGCCCTCAGGGCCCTGTGTACATAAACTGGTGGGATGAATGATGCTGGATGTTTCTGATTTCAGATTGATCTCACAAATGTATACTGGGCACCTTTTCTGTATACTCCCTAGGTGGAGCGTGTGTGTTTTTGTGTGTGTGTATGTATATGTATGTGTGTGGGGCTTCAGAGGGGGTACCAAGCACAGGTCTTGTGCCTAGGGCACTCACTGTGTAGTACAGACGCAGTCCAAACCCAGTTAGTTTCCATGCATTCACTTGGAACCACCTCTAATCCACTGTTCAAAATATTAAACCATTAGGTTACACCTGGCCAGAAGTCTTTGTTGATGCCCCATGATTTGTATGCCAGAGTCAAAATTTACCACTGCCTTAAAGGCCCTGCTGGTCTGGCTGTCTGCCTCTGAAGAGGCTTCATCTTGAATTGTGCTCCCTGTCACTCCAGTTCCAGTCACACTGGCCTCTATGTCCTCTTGCTCCTCACACTAATTCCTGTTACAGGAACTTTGCACATCTGGAATGCTCTTCCTCCTCCATTCACCTGTTGACTCTTACTTGTCCTTCCCAACTCCTCCTCAGGGAAGTCCCCAACCCCTGTACCTATCTTTCAGAGCACTGATCACATTGTATTCATTCATCAAATACCCAGAAAAGACCTGCAGGTGCTGGACACCACTGTATTATGTCAGTTCTTTATATGATTAATTTGATTTATCTCTGCCTCCCTCACTAGATTGTAAATTCCCCAAAGGCAGGAATCTTGTGTTTATTCATAACATCTGTTCCCCTTGGCACACAGTAGGCACTCAATAAATATTTCCCAAAAGGCTGAGCGACTGAGTGAATTAAAAGTACTGGCTACATGGTAGGAGTCTGGTGGTATAGTGCCTAAGGCATTTGACTGCTAACCAGAAGGCTGGCTGTTCAAACCCACCAGCCACTCGGAAGGAAGATTGGGCAATCTACTTCTGTGGTGGCAAAAAACAAGGCTCCAGGAATTGATGGGATACCCATTGAGAGGTTTCAACAAACGGATGCTGCACTAGAAGCACTCACTCAGCTATGCCAAAAGATCTGGAAGACAGCTACCTGGCCAACTGACTGGAAAAGATTGGTATTTGTATCCATTCCAAAGAAAGGTGATCCCACAGAACGTGGAAATTACCAAACAATATTAATATTGCATGCAAGTAAAATCTTACTGAAGATAATTCAAAAAAGGTTACAGCAGTAGATTGACAGAGAGCTTCCAGAAATGCAAGCTGGATTCAGAACAGGATGCGGAACGAAGGATGTCATTGCTGATGTCAGATCGATCTTGGCTAAAGCAAAGAATACCAGAAAGATGTTTACTTGTGTTTTATTGACTATGCAAAGGCATTTGATTGTGTGGATCATAATCAATTATGGATAACAATGAGAAGAATGGGATTCCAGAACACTTAATTGTGCTCATGAGGAACTTGTACATAGACCAGGAGGCTGTCAATTGAACAGAACAAGGGGGCACTGCATGGTTTAAAATCAAGAAGGGAGTGTGTCAGGGTTGTTTTCTTTCACCATACTTATTCAATCTGTATGCTGAGCAAATAATCCGAGAAGCTGGACTGTATGAAGAAAAACGTGGAATCAGGATTGGAGGAAGACTCATTAACAACCTGTGTTATGCAAACCAGACAACTTTGCTCACTGAAAGTGAGGATGACTTGAAACACTGATAAAGACTGAAGACTACAGTCTGCAGTATGGATTACATCTCAATATAAAGAAAACAAAAATCCTCACATTACTTGGTTCCACAGTCAACGACCCATGGAAGCAGCGGTCAAAAAATCAGATGACGTATTGCACTGAGCACATCTACTGCAACAGACCTCTTTAAAGTGCTGAAGAGCAAATGTGTTTCCTTGAAGACTAAGGTACCCTTGACGCAAGCCATGGTGTTTTCAATCGCCTCATATGCATGTGAGAGCAGGACAATGAAAAAGGAAGACCAAAGACGAATCCTTGCTTTTGAGTTGTGGTTGGCAGGAATCATGAAAATACCATGGACGGCTAAAAGAACTAACAAATCTGTCCTGGAAGAAGTGCAGCCGGAATGCTCCTTGGAAGCGAGAATGGCCAGACTTCATCTCATCTACTTTGATCATACTGTAAGAAGGGACCATTCCCTGGAGAAGGATATCATGCTTGGCAAAATGGAGAGACAAAGAAAAAGGGGAAGGCCCTCAATGAGATGGATTGACGTAGTGGCTGCAACGATGGGCTCAGGTATGGCAAAGATCATGGGGCTGGCACAGGACCAGACAGTGTTTTGTTCTGCTGTACATGAGGTTGCTATGAATCAGAGAGGACTCAACGGCACCTAACAACAACTTCCATAGTGATACCGCCTTGGAAACCCAAGTCAGATGCGACTTGGTGGCAGTGGTTTTTTTTTTTTTTCCACACTGTGGTCTGTGCTTAGAGGGGCAAATTGTATACTCTGATAGCACAGAGTGCATAGTTTGCATAGGTTGGTGGCTTCCCTAAAGCGTGATATTTTTACTATGGACCAGCACAAAGGCTCAAAAGTGGGAAAGTGCTAGGAGCGAGATGGCGAGTGGAACGAAATGTGTGGGGTGGAGACAGGAAAGCGGATTAGATAGGGTATGTTCAAATGGGAGTTCGGCAGGGAGCAACAGTCAGGATCGCCACTACCTGAGGGCTTTGAATGCAAGATTTGTAGGGAGCATGCCCCGCCTCATCTACTCATTAATGGATTAACTGCATCCCCAGCCAGGCAGAAGGCTAAATAGATGAGATAGGGAATGGGAACCCAGCCAACTCTGTGGGTCTCTTTGGGTCCTTTCTAGCGGATGCCATCTACTTACCCGATAGGTGTGCGGCCTCCAGAAGGGGAGCCAGCCTCCGCGCGGACACTCCCCTCCCAGAGTCCTCCGACTGCCCAGATCCCCACTCCATCCAGCCCCACCGCCGCCACCAGGGGCTCACCCAGATTGCTCTGTGCGGTCCCTGTTCCTGCTACTCCGCCCTGGTCACGCGCTGGCCCCACCCCTCTGCTCTTCCCCGCCTCGCCATGGCCCCGCCCAGATTCTGGGCTCCAGCTCCGCCCCCTCTGCTATAGTCCCGCCCTATCCCCGCCCTCCCCGCGTCTCCTCACCATGGCCCTGCCCAGATTCTGGGCTCCCGGTCTAGCCCCGCCTCCTCCGCTCTGGTCCCGCCTCAGATCCGCTGATCTTACTGCGCCTTGGCGTCGCCCAGATCCGAGTCGCCTTAGCCCGTCTCCCTTCGCACACTAGTCAGGTCTAGCCTGGAAAGCTCTCCTCCTGTTGTGGTGACGCTGTGCTGCCCTAGACCTGCTCCCTCCATCCTGGTTCCGCCCTTACCTCGTCTCATAGCCCCGCCCCTTGTCTAGACCCATCGTAGCTCCTTCTGGTTCCTGGGCCTGCCCTAGCATCGCCCCCGCCCAAGCCCGGCAGGCTCCTCCCTCAGGGCACTTCTTACCCATCTCCCCGACCCTGCGGCGCCCCCTGTCGACCCCGCATGCGCTCTGACGTGACCGCTCTCTCCTGGGCCCGCCCACACCACGCGGTTGCCTTGGAGAGAGGGACGCGAAGGTGAATCTGTCACCTGCTGGACTGGTGTGTGGTCACGGGACAGAGACTTCTGATAGAGCTACCCCTGAGGCGAGTCCTGTAGAGTCCCATCTTGCTTCCCTGCCTCCGCGAGGGTCCCCGGAGTCGATGCGGACGGCACCGGCATGTCAGGCGAGACGAGCGCACCGGGAGCCTCTCCCAGGGCCCCGCGTCCCGGAGCCCAGAAGGCATCTGGTGCCGTGACCAAGAAGGGGGAGCGCGGGGCCAAGGAGAAGCCGGTGACCATCTTGCAGCCAGTAGGCGAGGAGGAGCCCAAAAACCCAGGTAAACTGAAGACGGCGGAGAGGGTGGGGCTCTTCGCGCTCCCACCCGCGCCGCCTCGGGAAAGCCAGGTTGACAGGGCGTTGGCGTTGTGACAGGCACTGTTGCTGGACGTGCAGAAAGAGCTCTGGTGGAAGAGACAACCAATGAACTAGGAAATAGCTAAATAGTGGACTTTCTGGTACTAAGTGCTGCTTGGGAAATGGCTTCTCGATGACCGCCACTAAAGTTCAGACATCCCAGCTTCTCTGAGCTACGCTCCAGCCTGGTGGGCTCTCCACGATCCCGCGCTCTACACGTACCTCATCTGTCTTAGGTTCCTCCAACTCTCCACTCCACGCCCTGCCCATGCTGTTCCCTAGGCCTAGAACTCTTCCCACTCCTTCCTCTAACTCCTACTTCTCTTTCAGGGTGCATAGTGTCATCTCGACCAGGAAGCCCTCTTGTCTCACCTTCTCTCCATTAGGTTCCTAGCCAACCCTGTACCAATCTCTCACCCTAGACTGTCTTCTCATCCCTCTACCCCTCACCCAACTGGACTGTGCCAGTGAAGGGAGCTCCTCCGTTTCTCTCTAGTGCTCCACTGCTAGCACAGGGCCAGCATGCAGCAGGTGCTCTGGGAGTATGTGAGGAAAAAATGTGGTACAGGTGTTTGTTTCCATCTGTCCCCTCCCGGGGTCAGCCCACACAGATGATTCTACCCAAGGAAGCCAGAGGGATGTTTAGAAATGGAAATCAGATCTTATCACTCCCATTCTCAGAACCCTTCAACCACTTCACTCTGCAATTAGAATCAGATCCAAAAGGGGCTCCTCCTGCCTCTCTGACCTCACCTCTTATGTATCCTCCTGTCTGTCCACACTCCACCACACTGGCCTCTATTTTGCCTCTGAATACAAAAAACAAAACAAAACAAACCCTCACTGCCGTAAAGTCAATTCCAGCTCAGTGACCCTCATTGGGTTTCCAAAGCTGTAAATCTTTACAGAATCAGACTGCCTCATCTTTCCTCTGTGGAGCAGCTGATGGGTCCAAACCACCAACTTTTTGGTTAGCAGCCAAATGCCTTAACCACTATACCACCATGCTTCTAAATAGGACAAGCTTTTTCCCCATCTCAAAACAGTTTTTGCTGTCTGAAATGTTCTTCATTCAATCTTTATGTGAACATTACCTCTCGTCATTCAGATCTCAGCTCAGACCTCCTCAGCCTTTCCTCATCTAAAGTAGCACTGTCCCCCTCCCATAGCCTGGAATATTTTCTTCAAAGTACCTATCTCCAAGGAGCTCTGGTAGCATAGTGCCTTAGGCACTTGACTGCTAACCAGAAGGCTGATGGTTCAAACCCACCAACCACTCCTCGGAAGGAAGATTGGGCAATCTACTTCCATAGTGATACTGCCTTGGAAACCCAAGGAGGGGTCGCTATGAGTCAGGTCCAACTCAACGCCACATAACAACAACAACAACAACAACAACCTATCTCCATAGGAAATTATCTGTCAATGATTTGCTGGTTTGTAATTCTCATCTGGAAGTCCCTCGGTAGTGTGAACTGTGAATGGTTAAGTGCTGGGCTACTGACCAAAAGTTGGTGGTTTGAACCCTGCCCAGAGTCACCTTAAGGAGCTCTGGTGGAATAATGCCTTAAGACATTTGACTGCTAGCCAGAAGGTTTGTGGTTCAAACCCACCAGCTGCTCCATGGAAAGAAGATGGGGGCAATCTACTTCCATAAAAATTTCCTCCCTTGGAAACCCAGTGGGGGTCTCTATGAGTTGGAATTGACTATGAGTCGGACTCCATGGCAGTGGGTTTTGGAAGACAGGCCTGGCAACTGGCTTCTGAAAGGTCACAGCCATGAAAATCCTATGGAAGGCGGCTCTACTCTGAAACACACGGGGTCACCATGAGCCAAAATGGACACAATGGCAACTAGCTTTTTTTTTTCCCCTCAATTTCCCACCAGAATGTCAGCTTTTTGAGGATAGAGACTTGGTCTTGTTCACTGATAGATTCTCTACATAGAACAAGGATTTGTTGAAAATTTGAATTAATGAGTCCTATAGAAGGATGGAAAGAGCACTGGACTAAGGGTGGGGGCCTGGCTTTCTGCCCTGCTCTCCTACTAAGAGGTGGTATGTTGTTGTTAGGTGCCCTCAAGTCAGTTTTGACTCGTAGGGACCCTATGTACAACAAAACAAAACACTATCTGTCCCTGCACCATCCTACAACCCTGGCTGTGCTTGAGCTCGTTATTGCAGCCACTGTGTCAATCTATCTCACTGAGAGGCTTCCTCTTTTTTGCTGATCCTCTACTTTACCAAGCATGATGTCCTTCTCTAGGGACTGATTCCTCCTGATAACATGCCAAATTATGTGAGATGAAGTCTTGTCATCCTCGCTTCTAAGGAGCATACTGCCTATACTGCTGGCAAAACAGATTTGTTCATTCTTTTGGCAGTCCATGGTACATTCACTATTCTTTGCTAATACCATAATTCAAAGGCATCAGTCCTGCAGTTTTCCTTATTCATTGTCCAGCTTTCACATGCATGTGAGACTATTAAAAATACCATGGCTTGGGTCGGGCATACCTTAGTCTTCAAAGTAACATCTTTGCTCTTTAACACTTTTGAAAAAGAGGCCTTTTGCTGTGGATTTACCCAATGCAATATTTGTTTGATTTCTTGACTGCTATATGCATGGATGTTGAGTGTGGATCCAAGTAAAATGAAATCTTTTGACAACTTCCATCTTTTCTCCATTTATCATGATGTTGCTTATTGGTCCAGTTGTGAGGATTTTTATTTTCTTTATGTTGAGGTGTAAGCCATACTCAGGCTGTAGTATGGTTGAAGTATCTTTGATCTTCATCAGTAAGTGCTTCAAATCATCTTCACTTTCAGCAAGCAAGATTGTATCATTTGCATAACAGGTTGTTAATGAGTCTTCTCATAAATATCTTGATGTCACATTCTTCTTCATATAGTCTAGATTCTCAGATTATTTGCCCAGCATGGAGATTGAATAAGTATGGTGACAGGATATAACCTTGATGTATGCTCTTCTTGATTTTAAACCATGCAATATCCCCTTGTTCTGTTCTAACGACTGCCTCTTGGTCTATATACAGGTTCTGCATGAGCACAATTAAGTGTCCTGGAATTCCCATTCTTTGCAATGTTATCCATAATTTGTTATGATCCATACAGTCAAATGCCTTTGCATAGTCAATAAAGCACAGGTAAATGTCTTTCTGGTATTCTTTGCTCTCAGCCAAGATCGATCTGACATCAGCAATTATGTCCTTGTTCCACGTTGTCTTCTAAATCTGGCTTGAATTTCTGGCAGTTGCCTGTTTATGTACTGCTGCAACTGCTTTTGAATAATCTTCAGCAGACTTTTACCTGCATGTGATATGAATGATATTGCTTGATAATTTCCTCATTCTGTTGTATCACCTTCTTTGGGAATGGGCACAAATATGGATCTCTTCCAGTTGATTGGCAGGTAGCCATCTTCCAAATTTCTTTGTATAAATAAGTGAGCACTTCCAGCATTGCATCTGTTTGTTGAAACATCTCAATGGGTATTCTATCAATTCCTGGAGCCTTGTTCTTTACCAATTTTTTCAGTGCAGCTTGGACTTCTTCCTTCAGTACCACTGGTTCTTGATCATATGCTGCCTCCTGAAATGGTTTTGGTATGTGTATTCCCTCCATCTTCTTTTGGTGCTTCCTGCATCATGCAATGTTTTGCCCATAGAACCCTTCATTATTACAACTCAAGGCTTGATATTTTTTCTTCAGTTCTTTCAGCTTGAGAAATGCCGAGCACGTTCTTTCTTCTCTTTTGATTTTCTAGCTCCAGGTCTTTGCACATTTCATTATAATACTTTACTTTGTCTTCTGGAGCCACCCTTTGAAATCTTCTGTTCAGCTCTTTTACTTCATCAATTCTTCCATTCACTTTAGCTACTCTCCATTCAAGAACAAGTTTCTGAGTCTCTTCTGACATCCATTTTGGTCTCTTCTTTCTTTCCTGTCTTTTTAATGACTGTTTGCTTTCTGCATGTATAATGTCCTTGATATCCACAACTCATCTTGGTCTCCAGTCATTGGTGTTGAGTGCATCAAATCTGTTCTTCAGGTGGTTTCTAAATTCAGGTGGGTTTTACTCAAGGT